ATACGAACAATCCCACGACGGCACCGTCGACGGCTCTCTCTCTCACTCTGCTTGCTCCGCTTGTTCCGACCGACACTCCACTACTTTGTCCCATGGTTGGCCGAATGATGGTCTCAGATCCGACGATCCGTGCACAACTGCGCCATTCTTCAAATTTGGACGCGCCATCTCCATGGACTCCCAAGCGATTCAATTCGGCATGATGAACTCGATGCGCACCAACAACGTGGTCGTCGACACACTCATTTGTCTCGTCATTCCACTGCTGTTCAAGTTCGTCTTCGACTTGACGACTCACGTGCCGTGGCTGGCCGAGTACGCGCGGTCGCTCTTCACGAAAAACGAACGCGAGGTCATCCGACGCATCGAAATCAAGCAACACTTCAACTCGTGGGGAAAAGTCCGCGACCACGAGCAGCACAACCACATCCTGCAGAAAGCCATCTCCATCTACCTCAGCGACCACTTGGACATGACGAGTCAGTCTGGTCGCTACGAGTTGCTCGAGAACGTCAAGCCGCCCAAGGATGCCAAGGATGCGTCCGACGATAACCAAAGCTGCTACTCGTACGGGTACTGTAGCGAGCGCGACCAGTTGCAGATGCTTGGAATTGGCGCGCTGCCTCCGTTGAACGACTGGATCCAAGTCGAGGAGGGCGTCGAGTTCATGCACGAGATCAAGACGGGCCAGGAAGCCAATGACGACGGCAACAATGGCGGCGGCAACAGCGTCACCGAGTCCACCGTCACGTTTTTATTGAAGTCGTCCATGGCGAATGGGTCGGCTCGCATCGACGACTTTGTGAACCGGGCATACAAGAGCTATCAAGACGCTGTCATGACCAAGCACAAGACGGACAAGTCGCGCTACATGTACATGGCGAGTGCGGCTGCCAGTGGTAGTAACGAATCTGCGGACAATGCTGCGGCCGCCGTACAAACCTACAAGCGGTACGCGTTGGGCGAAGACAAGACGTTCCACAGCTTGTTCTTCGAGGAGAAGGAGTCGTTGCTGCACTTGCTCGACAACTTTGCCACCAAGAGCGGCAAGTTCGGCATCCCCGGGTTCCCGTACAAGATGGGTCTCTTGCTGCACGGCCCCCCCGGCACGGGCAAAACCAGCCTCATCAAGGCCATCGCGCAGCACACCAAGCGCCACATCGTCAACATCTCGCTGAGCAAGATCAAGACGAACCAAGAGCTCATGGACATGATGTTCGACCTCAAGTTTGGCATCCAAGGCGAAGACTTGCCCATCAAACTGGCCTTCGACAACATCGTGTTTGTCATGGAAGACGTCGACTGTGCGTCCAATGTTGTCCTCGCTCGGACGTCCGCGGCGGAAGTTCCGGAAAAGGATGACGTGGACGTGGTGGATTTGGCCACCATGAGCAAACTCGACGGCGGCACGTCCACGGACGACAAACTCATCGGGCCTGCCAACAACGGATCGTCCAAGTGGGAATCCAAGGACAAACTCAACTTGTCTGGGTTGCTCAACGTGCTGGACGGCGTCGTGGACAGTCCGGGTCGAATTCTCATCATGACAACCAATCACCCGGAGAAGCTCGACCCGGCCCTCATCCGTCCTGGGCGAGTCAACAAGAAAGTCATGCTCGGCCACATCTCGTCTCGTCAGACGCAGCGCATGGTGGAGCATTACTTTGCCACG